TTTGATGTGCCTTCTCCTTCCTTCCTTATATCATTTCCTAATTACAAATTTATACATAAAAAAAAAATTTTTTTTCCATTCTGAAACAGAGATAAAAAGAAATGGGGAAAGAATGAAGGGGAAGTTTGATGTGCAAATCAATTAATTAAATAATTATTCAATCAATAATTAGAGATTTATCTGTCGCAATTAAAAAAAGAAAACAAAAATAAAATTTTTTTAATATTACATTTATTTTTTGTCGTTTAAATAAACGGAATTTATATTTAAATCAAAAATTGATATAAATTTTTTTTCCCTTTCATTTTGTTAAAATATTTTTACTGAATGATATAAAATGACGCATCCGTTAGCAGATTTTTTTTTTTTTTTGACTGTCAATTAGCAAAAGGATGACAATCCTTTCTTTTTTTTTAACAATAAAATTGTTTTGTTTAGGATTGAATTTTAAAATTCGTGTATTTTTAAACTTAAGTTTAATTTTAAAATTAAGCTTAAATATAGCATAGTTTCTAATTTAGTACCATATAAAAATGAGTGAAAAGAAAAAAAAAAAGTAATGAAATTTAAAATATTTCATTTACACAATTTTATCCTATAAAAAAAATGTCAATTGAAATAAATAAATGAATAGGCAATAATTAATGGGATTAATAAATATAAGCAAGAATAATAATAATCGTTGTTTATTTATATGTCAAATAATATTGTCACATGAAATAATGATTGAAAAATGTATACATGTCTAACTATCTCTTAATTAATTTGATCATTTTAGGGAAAATTAAAGAATTTTATTTTACATATAATCCGGTTTTTAATAGGACAAACGAGTAACGGAAATGATTATGGTAAAGGAGGATGTGTTGATTGCTATTAAGAGGACAGGATTGGAAGATGAAAGAGGAAGGAAAGGAGTGAAATAAAAATTTTACAAAATGCTTAATAAATATTATTTGTTATGGAAAATTTTTAATAATTTATATTGTTCCAAAAATTTTATTTACATTCAAAAATATATTTGTAATATTATCATTTATTAATAAATTAATAATTATATTTTGTCTAATATATATTCATATCAGAAATGTTTTATGTATAAGGAATGTTTTCTTTTCCTATTTGAATTTTTAAATTTTCTGTTATTTATTTACATTATTT